TACAGAGCTGGAAACTGGGGGACTTAAACTACATGTGTACGAGCCCCCATCTCCGAAATGGACGCTCTTACTCGCGTGGTACTCAAATACGGGTCCACCGAAATTTTTTTCGGGCAAGTTAACTCCGGAACCTGAAAAGCCAGAAGGCTGAAATTTTAAAGGGATGTTCCCCGTCCAAGTAAATATTAATGAGTTCAAACCCAACCCTCGGAAATGTGTGGTATTCACGTAAGGGCCCGTGAAAGGTTTTTACGGGCCCTTACGTGAATACCACACATTCTCAGCAACTTGAAAAGCTAGAAGACTGTAATTTTAAGGAGATGTTCCTTCCCTCAAAGGTGCTAATGAGCTCAAACCCAGCCCGCGGGTATGCGTGGTACCCACGTACGGACCCGCGAAAGTTTTTTTCGGGTAAGTTGCTAAATCGGGAACCTGAGAAGCTAGAGGACTGTAATTTTAAGGAAATGTTCCCCATCCACGTAGATTTTAATGAACTCAAACCGAACCCTTGCGTATGCATGGTTCCTATGTACCAGCCCGTGATTTTTTTGCGGATGCTAACTCGGGAGCCAGGAAAGCTAGAAAGCTGAAATTTTAAGGGGCTGTTTCCTGATAGTTCTGGCGGTCAGTCTTAATTTGTTTAGCTAGAAGCATTTGTTGGAGAAACTGGTACCGGTAGCGACAAAAGCTGCAGGGAGCTGTGCCAAAAACGCATCTTCGCACGGGCAGCCCTTACGTTGGCCAATTATTTTTATTTTGATGCCGGCCTTGCTCCTGCCATATGTTTTTGGCAAGCTGAGTGCGCCAGACTGCCATACTTGGGCTGGCAAGTTGTCTTTTTTTAACTGTGATGGGCACTTACCGCAAGCATATAGTCGATGAATGTTTAAGATTACATGTTCAATGAATGTTTAAGATCGATGACGAGCATATCTTGTTGGGTACTTATGCCGGTGTTCTGCATTGGTTTAACGTTGAGACCGGCGCTGATGAATCGAGCACTGAGTGTCATCATAGTGCTTTGACTTTTGTTCAGCAGTCCAAAGTAAGCATTTTTCTCATTAATTGTTTCAGAAGTAATGCTGCAACACGTTGATTGTAAACCACTGAACGCTAAAACTTTCTTTGCGCTTTTAATACACTTTAAGCTTAAGGCAAATTCCTACCCTCCTTGCTTCCTCCTTAAGCAGCTCTCGGAAGAAAGAGCCATCAACAGCTGCTTGGATGCTTGGTTTGTTGCTCATTCTTTTATATGGAAAAGTAAAACGGAGGAGCGGTTTACACTTTAAACCATATTCTTCACAGGACGGATCGCTTTTGCTCACTTCATCTGCATTTGTATGTCCGCTGTCTTCGCTGTGGCGCATTGGTGAAACGCAGGAACATATGATAAATTTTCCGGACGAATATCATGTTGAATTTTGTAAAATGGGTCAAGATCGTATCATTGGAACTCAGGGAAGTACGGCAACGGTATCATTTTTTAGAAAATTTTATAGATTTTTGTAGTCACTACCGCGTTGTTATCATTGTTTTAGGCCCATTAACGAGTTGAATTTGTGTTATTTGATTATCGCGCTTCATTTAAACGATACATTTCAAGGCATACTTCAGATTTATGACACTGAAACCGGTCGAGCTGTGGTGCGCCTCTTTGATGAAGATTTGGCGAACAACTACGCTCGAAACAGGTTCGATTATTGCGCTTTCATCGATTAATTGCAGAAGTAAGAGAAAGCATATAGCCTGTTACTAATGTTAGAGTCCTTTTTAATGATGCAGTTATTAATTTTGTGTCCCGCAAGCCGAAGGCAGCCGCATTTGACCTCGCAAGTTTAAATTCGGCCTCCCCGTACTCGTGGGTAACAAG